CTGTTGTACAGAATATGTAGGAGTGTATTATTCCAGTACCAACATGTGTTTTTGATGTTCTGTTGTACAGAATATGTAGGAGTGTATTATTCCAGTACCAACACGTGTTTTTGATGTTCTGTTGTACAGAATATGTAGAAGTGTATTATTCCAGTACCAACATGTGTTTTTGATGCTCTGTTGTACAGAATATGTAAAAGTGTATTATTCCAGTACCAAAACGTGTTCTTGATGCTCTGTTACTGTTCAGAACAATGATGATATATTTGATTTATTCACATGAATACTTATGTATCAAATCTCATTATGTGGCCTTCCTGGTAGATGATTAATATGTCTATTCAATTTCTGTTGTTGCTAAGGCATTGATGTTTGTGCTAGTCTGTGGAGTGTTAGTACTGTTGTTATAGGATTCATGATGTTCTGAACATTGGTGTGAGTAATGTTGTTGTAGTTTTCATGATATTCTGAATACTGGATCAGTAGTGTTGTTATTGGTTTATGAAGTTTTGAACATTTACAGATTACTACACACAATAATATGCTTGCACTTTCAAAAATATTCAGTTTTGGAAATGTAATTTTAGGAGAGTTAAAAGCAAATCTTGGTATTTATTTAGTACTTGATTGTATTATATTTCTATGTATTTCATAGTTTTAATTATTTTTTTTATTGCTTGATACATAGGAGCAAAGCCATTCCAGTGTCCCCACTGTGAGCTGCGTTTTCGAACGTCAGGACATAGGAAGAGTCACATTGCTAGTCACTTTAAAGTTCAAAACCATCGTAGACAGAAAGCTGTAGAAACTGGAGATGATAATGAGTTGTCTACGTACCTGCTTTCCACCAACATGCCAGAAACCAACCAACAAGATGAACATCCCACAAACATAAGCCTATCCACAGAAGACCTGGGGAACCTTGCTGTTGGAATGAATGCAGAGGTTGTCCAAGGGGTTGACGGTATTCAGTTACAGCTAACTCCAAACATTTTAGGTCACCAAAGCATACAGATCACTGGACTCGATCCAGCTTTGCTGTCTCAGACTGTACAAATAGATGCTAGTCTTTTTCAGCAGCTGCAACAACAAGGTAATGTAAACATTGCCATCAGTCCACACTTATTGACCCAGTCACTTGGTGTTTCTGATTCAGCAGCTGACGCAACATTATTAACTGATCCTACTGCATCGGGAACTATCACAGTGAACCCTAATGTCATAATTCAGCCTATGACTAGCTTTGTGTCTCAGGAACAGTGTCTCACAACAGATCAATGTAACACCTCTATGTCAGTTTCCAGTAGTGGGGGCTTGACGAGAAATGACATATCTCTTGGGGCTTCATCTGTTGCTGACAACAGTGGAAATGAAGATCAGGAAATTGGTGAGACTAGTGAGATTGATCTTGAGGAAGATGATGAAGAAATATCTCGGACAGCTGAGTTGAACCTTGCTAATGAGGTAAATGTTACAGACAGTGGTGTTAACATAGGTGAAACATTAGTTAGCTTAACCGACAGTTCCAGTCTTGTTGCTGGAGGTGTTCAACTTCTCAACATCAGTCCTACTGAGGACGACCCTGAGCGGACTCACGTGTGCCCTGAGTGTCAGAAACCTTTTAAACGAGCTAGCCATCTTAAGGATCATAGGCTGACTCATAATCCTCAAGCTAACAGAACTAGGGTCACTCCTCACCAATGTGAGCAGTGTGAGAAGGCCTTTGCTAAACCCAGCCAGCTACAACGCCACCAAAGGATTCATACAGGAGAAAGACCATTTGTGTGTGAAAAGTGCAAAAAAGCTTTTAACCAGAAGAATGCCCTGCATATACATATGATTAAACATACAGGGGAAAGGCCATTTAAGTGTCCTTTGTGTCCAATGGGCTTCACGCAAAAGGGTAATCTCAAAGTTCATGTAAAACGTACACATGGTGACAGTCCAGAAAACTTCCAAACGGTAAGTTATTGAGAATATAATCTATATTCCTGAGTAATGCAGTCATCATAATCTTTCTTGGAGGGCTTATTGTTTTTTATTACTCCTCAGGATTTGGTTCCAGAATTCTTGTTGCTATGATTGATTTGATTATATTAGAGTAAAGGATAACTTTAATTCAAACAAGTAGAAATGTTTTTCTACAGAGGGTTGAGTAGGTTATATTAAAACTAATTTTAATATATATATATATATATAAACCAGCAAGTCATGTGACAACCATAGTCAATATACAGTCACAGTGGAATGGTATGGTTGTTCTCATATATTTGACTAGATGATATTAGATTAACAGATAACTTGAATAAATCATATAGTGAGAACTCTTTTATTTTTTATAATAATGTGATATTTAGATCCAGAATCATATTGTTACATTTGGTTTCATTGAATCATTTTAGACTTGTAGAAATATGATATTTCGATACTGTATAATACCTTCATTCAGATGAAAAGCTATTCTCATTCAGTGCTGCCCTCTATATGAAAACATTTTTTTACATGCCACAAGTCTTGCACTCTCAAGTATCCTATGATTATGTGGTTTAACTGTGTCTCACTTGCAAATCATCATGCTACAACCCTCCACCGATAAGAGTGCGACACGAACTCCTGACACATGTGACTCCCTCTATTCAATTCTACTGAACTATCACTTCTCGTTAGGCAGTGCTGTAGTCAAGAGATGTTTTGATTGTGCTCTTATCATGCATTTTTCTTGTTAATATTATATATACATACAAAGTGGAAAGACCATTTATATCTTACTACTGTTTTATTTTTTACAGTTTTAACTTACCTTGGTTCTTCTTTTTATTTGAATAATTTTCAAATTTTCATCATTTTATGATGAATACCAAAGTTAATGTTACCACTTTGGAGATTATACAACCTGCTATCAGTACAATTACACAGGCTTCAGGTTGGGGAACTCGACTGAGGAATTTTCGTCCTTAATTCATCAGGAGATTAAACATTATCTGAATCAACCTTCTTCTGATAGTGCTCGACTTCCTCCTGAACCTGTCGAACCTTCTTATGATGGTGAGGATTTTGACACCCTTTTTCCTTTTTCTGATTATGCTGTGCCTTCCCGTGCCTCTCCTGCAGAATCTGTTAGGCCTAATTCAACCTTTTTAGACATGATTTCTCAGGTTTGTTTCTTAATAACCATTTTCCAGATTTCTTATAATCCTGTTCTTTCCTCCCAGTAAATTGTTTTTCCTCCTTCTCCTGATGTCAGGGTTCATTCTCAGCATTTTGTTTCTCAGTTGTGAGCTGTTGCTAGTATGCCTCATCCTCTATGAGCCACAGATCAATTTACCTTGGCTTACCATCAGGCAATTTACCCCTTTCTTGATTCTCAGCAGTTAGAATCACTACTACCAGTATGAGGGGCTGACCCTGACAATCCTGTCCATTATCCCAGGCCCAGTTTACCCACCTTCATCTTACCCTTATGACTCTCCTATGGTACTTGTACACCATGCACCTTTTTTCTGAGGCACTCCACTGATCTCCTGAGGGATTTTCAGGGGATACCTTCTCCCTCAATACCTTTATGTTGTCATGATTGTCCTTCTTGGCTCTAGCTCTTCATATGTGGTTTGTTTTTTGTTGGGATCTTCTTGGAAGGGATGCTGTCTTGTTCCAGGTTTGTTTACTGTCCACTTAACTTTGGGATTTGCGGATGGCTCCTTTTCTCCAACAGTCCAATTTTGGGAATATTACTGAAACTTTGGAGCCGTGTGTGTGGAATTCGTGAGGCAATATTCGATCCTTTCATTTATGGTTACTCGTTTGTCACACCCTAGGTCCTTGCAATCCCCAGTTCCTGTTCTACATTTATCATTCTACAATCCTTTACCTGTTCCTCCTACTAGAGGTTCCACAGTTTGTCATGTTTATTGATGCATGTCTCATTTTCACGAGCAGTACTGGTGAATGAATATACTGTGGGTTCTGGTCCAGTGGGGGCTCGTTTGACTGATTTTGTTCCCTTCTGAGTGAATGAATATTTTGAAGTTGTTACATACTCTTCCCAAAAACTTACCAATTTTACATCATAAAACACAAAATTATGTTGAAAATATAGTTATGATATGTGTCATGACTTTATATCAACTGTGGCTGTCATATGACTTACTGTTTTGCATATTAAAAATCATTCTAACTTAATGTACTCAAACCTCTGTATTCCAAACATGACTTTTTTATATATACCTACAAAAAGCAAGTTGAATTTGTTATAGACCTAATGTAAGATAAAGATCAGTTTTTAAGGACCAAATATAAGATAAAATTGAAAATAATCCAGTACTAAAATATGTTGTTAGACAATATAATATTACATTATTATAACTTTAACATTAGAATGCCAGCAGAACTATGAATGCTGATTTCAGTTTTTATATCAACAAACTTTCCTTTATTCAGAAATTTTTAAAAATCAGTTAAAATATGTTATCCATAGGATATACCTGCAGATATAGCTGAGGTGTACTTTTAAACCTAATTGTCACCTTAGTTCTTATTTTCAATTTATGGACAAAATTCCATCTTTACGACCTTCACTCATTGTTTATAAACTCACTTGTCCCTGCTGTCAGTGTGGTTACATTGTTTCTATGAAAAGAGAATTATTAACATGTGAAAAAAAGACATGCTTACCTAAGATCACCAGTTAAGTCCAATATAATTATACATGCCCTAGGTAAATGTGACATTCTTACCCATTATAATTTATTTAAGATCTTGGCTAGCCAAAGAATACTTACAGTAATGTATATATATATAATATATACATTAATAACCAAAGAACTTTTAGGTTTAACAGGAATACAGGATGTAATTGCACTTTCCTTATTTAGATATCAATGAAGTATTCTACCAATAATACCTTTGATATTCATAAGTTCTTTATGTAAACCGTCATATGTGTTAGATATCTCATAAGCATGGTTAGAAAGTAATTTATCTAAATGTTATTTAAAGATGATAGGAATGAATCTTACAAAATTTAAATATAATCCTGTAAAGATTTTTGTAGAGTACACTTCACAACCATTGTCCAACCATTGCTTTTCATGAAAGCACAAAAACAAGTAAACAAGAGATTAGACTAATCTTGCACCTTTGGCGACAGCATCAATCCAATCATAACACATACCATTCAAAATGCAATTAGATTCTTTAATGGCAAAATTGATTAATTAAATAAAAATTTGAGACTACTTACTTCATTGAAATCAGATCAGGACTCTGTTGTGTAATCTCTTCTAATGGTATATTAGTGTATAATGATTCGATGCCAAAACTCGTACACTGAACGTTACTATCTAATTCCAGTACTTCCCTCTACTCAGAAGATTAGTTATTTTCGTTCAGTGCTGCCCTCTATATACACATTTTTTGTTATGCATGCCACAAGCCTTCTGCTGCCCTCTATTTGGAATTGAGTGATTCCAACATGTCTTATGTAAATCATCATGTGTCACTTCTCCACCAATAGAAACGTGACATACTCACATGATGCATGTGACTCCATCTATCTGCCTCTACCGAACTATCACTTCTCATTTGGCAGTGCTTGTGCTCGGAGATGTTCTGTTTTTTTTGTATAATGTTTCACGTTCATCTTTAGTATACTCACAACATGGTCTTCTTTTATTTTCAGTTCTAGTTTCTATTAAGACTGTTTCTTAACTTCACTTTAATCCCGGTTTATTACAGTTGCGTTGTTATTTATATTTTCAATTATTGGTTGACTCTTCCTTATTATGAATTCCAAAGTTCATGTTACCCCTTTCAGGGGTCACACACCTGCGACTAGTGCTATGTCTAATGCCTCAGGTGCGGGTGACCCAACGAGGGATTTATCTGTGTTTATTCATTGGGAGATTGAATGTTACATGGGTCAACCTCTGTCTAGGGACCTTGCCCACTTCCTCCCGAACAAGCGGGGCCTTTTCAAGTGGACAAGGATTTGGATCGCATATTTCCTCCTCCTGATTTTGCCATACCTTCCCATGCCCCACCTGAAAAGTCAGTTAGGACTAATACAGTCTTTTTGGATTTCATTTCTCAGGTATGTGATGTTTTATCCCTTTCCCCTATTTCTTATGAACTGCATCCTTCTTTACTACATGACCAAACTACCCATTTCTATTTTATTCCCCCACCCTGGATATTCAGGTACATGCTGACCAATTTGCCTCACATTAAGAGATGGGATTAGCATGCTTCACCCTCCACAGGCTTCGGATGAGTTTGCTCTTGCATATCATCATGCAGACTGTCCTTGTCTGAACCAACAATTGTTAGGTCCCATTTTGCCTATTTGGGGTGTGGCCCCTTAATCTCCTGTAAGTCTGATTCATGCCCAATTTTCCTGCCTTCATCTTACCCTGACAACTTTTTTACGGTATCTCTCTACCATCCATCTTCTCTCTGAAGCTCTCCTCCAAAATCCTGAGGGGTTTTCTGGGCACATCTTCTCCCTTCTTTCCTCCATGTTGGCTTGTCTGTCATCTTCATGGTTACTTTGTTGTTGGGACCTTCTAGGTCGTGATGCAACTTTAACTCATGTCCGTTCACCATCATCTTATCTTCGGGACTTACATATGGCCCCATTCTGCAGTGATACATCTTTAACACGATCCCCGAATCTTTGGAATCACAAGTTGCATCAGTACAACAACAGTCTACCCTTTCCAACTTTGTTTGATACATCTTCAACACGATCCCCGAATCTTTGGAATCACAAGTTGCATCAGTACAACAACAGTCTACCCTTTCCAACCTTGTTTGTTACATCTTTAACACGATCCCCGAATCTTTGGAATCACAAGTTGCATCAGTACAACAACAGTCTACCCTTTCCAACCTTGTTGCTCTTTTGTCTCAGTCGGGTTCCAATATGGCACCTATTACTGTGACTACCCGATGACTTCTGCTCCAGT